TTGGCTCAGCTTTGGAAGGTCCCACTAGACATGAGAACCACTTGTTATCTGGCCAAGTGGTCAATGGCACCCAGGCGTATTTTCTCTTTGAAGTACTATCTTTAGTCCAAGTATACGTCACAAAGCAGGTTTTGCATGAGATATTCCATGACCTGAGTAACACTTCCAAAAGCATGTCAACATTTTCTTGTCCTGACTATTCATATCTCTACCCCCAAGCCATGTCTCTTCATCTTTGCTTTAGATCCACAGTGCTGGCTGGGTACCACTAGCACGCTGGTTTTGGGGACCATTGCCTCTTTTCTCTCTCTGCTCCTGATGAGCAGAGACAGGTGAATGTCAGATGGTGACTTGCCGCCTCATTAGGTGGCAGACCAGGACTGTGTGATGCCCACAGACCCATTTCTCCCAGGAAACTAAGGACTCAAACCTTCAAGGTGTTTGGTGCTGACTGAGGCCTATCTGTTACTGTCCCCTAAGAATATATACAAATGCATACCCACACAGGTGGATCTGTGTGCACATACACGTTCATGCTCACTCGTACCCATCTAAATACAGGCACACACCGCTGAACCTGTGACAAGACACTTGTTTTTGATGGCTCAGGGGAGTGTTTCTTGGCATTGCTCTGTCTCTATTGTTCCAAACCTCACACATCTTACTCCCAGTGTCTGAAAGGTGAGAATCCCCACCCTGCACTAAGTGTTGAAGACACATGTTGTTGTTGTTATGTGCCGCCGAGTTGCTTGCGACTCATAGCAACCCTATGTACAACAGCCCTAAACTCTGCTCTGTCCTGTGCCAATCGCACTGTCTCTGACACTCCCATCCCGATTATCCCAGTCACTGAATCAATCCACCTCATAGAGGGCCTTCCCCTCCTGCGCTGTCCCTCCACCCTCCCAAGCATGATGTCCTTCTCCAAGGACTGGTCTCTCCTCACAACATGTCCAAAGTATGTTAGACGGAGCCTCAGAATCCTTGCCTCCAAGGAGCCACCCGGTTTAACCCTTTCCAGGACAAATCTGTTTGTTTTCCTAGCAGTCCATGGTATTCTCAATACTCTTCTCCAGCACCACAGCTCAAAGGCATCAATTCTCCTTCTATTCTCCTTGGTCATTGTCCAACTCTCTGATGCATAATAAGTGATTGTGAAGACCATGGCCTGTATCAGATGCACCATAGCTCACCTCATTCCTACCCACTCACTTTTTAACATCTAAATGGTGCTCTGGGATTCTGGACCTTTAGAGTTCTGTCCAAGGTGACTATGTCACTGAAGCACCATCTGAAGGGCTGATGAGTCTCCCTTCCTCTGCAGCCAACGTGGCAGTTCTCCGAGGCGTCGGACACAATGACTGAGCCCTGTGACTGGAATGTGGAGGACCAGCACGCTTGGTTCCATCACAGAGCCTACAACAGAGAGTTTTCTGACAACCAGAAGGAAGTTATTGTCTGACTGCCTGGAGGCTAAGTGCTCAAGACCAGGGTGTGGCTGTGCTGGGCCCCCTGAGCCTCTGAGGAGGCATAGCTCCAGCTGGCGGGGTGGGTGGCTCTGGATGGAGCTGGAAATTACGGCATCAGTTCAGAGCAGGGCAGGCCATCTTCATCCTGTTCATCTGACAACCTTCATCCTGACATCTGGGACAGCCTGAGCCTGGAAGAACCACGTGTTTGTCCTGAGCTAGGGACACTGGCCACTGGTTTCCTCCAGCACAGGCACATGGCTCCTGCCACTCCACCAGCTTCAGGTCTACCAGTCACACAGCCAGCAGGGCCTAGGCACCCACCCTGGAAACACCTTAGGGGCTGTCCCCGATCCTGTCCCTTGACATCCAGAGGAACAGGCCCACGGTGCCCCAACATGAGCATTCCCAGGACCCTGGAAAAATTCGCTATGTGCTGTCTATTCAGCTTAAGGTGGGCGCTGTGAGCGCCTGCCCCTGTTCTCCAGCACCAGGGACTCCCAGGGCCAGCCTGGTCACGACCAGCTGCCAGGTCCGCAATGAACACCACATACTCACTGGCCTTGCTATCTGTGTCTTGTATGTGGTGGCATCTACCACCTGGTCCCTCTCCAGGCAGTGGTAGGGAGTACATGCTTCACCTGAGGGTAGGGTCCTCGGCTTCCCTGGCAGGAACACCATGAGTATCTGGCACAGGCAGGGAATAGGCAGTCCTGGGGAAGAACAGCACTTGGCACTGGTTTTTCTGATTTTAGCTCTGATCTGGGTGAGCTGTGGAATCAAGTCAATGTAAGGCTGTAGACAGGCAGGAATCAGGTGTGAGAAGGCCTAAGTCAGTGGTGCCATGAAGAGGGACATGACTTGGGCTGTGTCCACCTGGGGGTCGCTACAACACATAGTGGGATCAGGGAAGGCTCTGGGGATTCCTGACCCTGAGGAACACCCATAAACCTTCCTACCAACTCAGGCCAAGCCAGATCTCCTAGGTGGGGCAACTGCAGACACTTTCTGTACATGCTCCAGAGAGGCAGGTTGGTTTCTGCCCTGGTGTTGGGTCCAAGAATAAGCCTGCAGGTTTGCACACCTCCCAGAGCTGGGGGTCCTGCCCATTAGAAGCCCTGACACACCTGGACTAGAAGCCAAGCCTTTTGCTGGATGGGGACAGAGGAGTGTATCCATGTGCTGCCTGGCTGGTTCCTGGTTTGACTGCACAGGGAACACCTGAGCAGGTGTCCAGCCCCCTAACGACTGCCACCAAAACACTGCAGATCAAACTCAAACCCTGGGGATCCCAGTGTCCCTGGCAAGCCTGTTCAGCTGAGGGCCAGGCCAGCACGGAGCAACCTCAAAGCCTCTGGTCCCAATCCAGCATCACTGACTGACCAGTTCCTCTAGGCAGGACGAGAAAGCTGCTCCAGCACAAGCAGAAAGGCCGACGGCAGGCCGTCAGCCGCCAAAGACCTTTGACGGTGAAGTTCTGTGCGGGATAACTTGTAGGATGCCAGACTAGGGCTGAGCTGAGCACCCTCAGTGGTTACCAGGATGAACATATCCCTTCTGGGCCAGGCTCCCTCTAAACTGGGCTTGGGACTCTGTTCCAGGGCCACTGGATCCTGCATGATCACATCCCACCAGTGGGACCACAAAGTGCCAGCATGCAGATGCAGTGCCCCTCAGCATTCCAACCAACAGCTGTTCACAGAAGGTTCAGGGGTCTCCAAAGGGAAAGTACTGGGCTGGAAAGTGATGTCTCTCTCAATAAGCAGAGGAACACTGACCAAGGCAAAACGGAGCATCCAGGAGCTTCTCTGAAGCACTTCGGTGCCCTACTCTTAACCCTAACTGTACTCCCACTCTCAGCTCTAAGGATAACATGGAAGAGGTGAGAGGAGTCAAAGTCTGGAGGGAATTGGTGACAGGCACAGGAAGACCAGACACGGGGCAGAGAGCCGCGCAGGTGAAGCCTGGAGAGGCCGCAGAGCCTCACAGAGCTGAGTGCAGGCGGCTAACCAGAAAGGGGGGGCTCAAGTGCACGTGAAGTGACTCAGGAGTAGCCAACCAAAGGTCAAGAGCTGGGAACCTGCGAAGTATGCAGCCTGATGCGCACAGGCGGGGCTCCCGCCTAGCCCAGCTCCTTCCACCCGTCATAGCCCAGGCTGGGCGGGCGCCTGGCCCTCCCAGGACTCTGGTCACCGGTCACACCAAGCACCAGCTCTGGACACAAACGCACGCTGCAACTGTCTGGTCCTGCAGGGTCAGGCTGGGCAAACAGGCAGACTACTGGGCAACAGACAGCCTTGGACGGAGCTGCCCACGTTCTAGGGAGCCCAGGACCGGCAGACAGACGTGGGGTCGGGCCTGCCCGTCCTTTTCCTCCCGCTGCCTGCGCGAGGACCTCCACGCTGGCAGTGTCCACGCAACAAGCTGCAGTGACCCCGCGACCCTGCGCCGGTTCCAGTCGGGGGCCAGCAGAGAACTAGGCAGAAGCCCCTCGGGTGGGCAGGAGCAGACGGAAGACAGGGACAGGCTGGCCGGACTGGACACTGCCACCACCCCACTGAAACCCCAGAGGCCAGCCAGGTCTTCCTCCCACATAAACGGGCTCCAAGGAGGGCCTGACTCAGAACCGCCTCTCCTCCAGGCACAAAGCAGGGCGGAGGCCCCCCTCGGCCTCGACCCCTCACTCCATCACCCCTTCACCCCGTCGCCACCTCGGCCCCGACCCCTCACCCCGTCACCCCC